TACCAGATGTCTGATCCTCTGACGGCTTTGATGCATGCGGTTCAAGTAATGAATTTGCTTAAGACCCTGATTATGAAAACACTGAGAGAACGGGAAGAGAATGATGAAACTGGTGGATATTCACCAATGTCATCTAGTTCATCTGATCATCAAACAGATGAAGACTTTGATAGTCAGCAAGAAATGGATACCAGATCTGAATTAGGGGGACCGGCATCAGACTTTGATGAAAATGGCCACTCCAGCTGCAGCAGTGAAGACGAAGATGAAGATGAAGTCCGGTCGCTAAGCGAGATAGAAGCATGCTTCTTAAGACATTTGGGTGAGAATAAAGCTGTCACAAATAGCTTGGATCAATCAACAGGGGAGTTGCATGGGGAGTCTCTAAGTCCCCAAAGTTGCCTGAGTACAAGTGATGGGGAAGACTCTGGGAAACGTATAAAGAGCTCTTCATCAGTATCATGTTCAAAAATGAATGAAATGGAGATGGTGGACAGATAAATGGAGCCTGGTTCACCTATACATTCGTTTGCATCAACTGGACCTGTCTGATGGGCATTTCTTCTCTGGAGATGGATTTAGTTTGCTTTCCAGTCATGTTTCTTCTGTATATTAATTATATGATGCTTGTGAGTTGATTTAGTTGAACCAAGCTTGGGAATGCTTGGTTGTGGTTGATTGTGACTTGTGAGCAAGTCGGGGTTCAGCTTTGGGCTGAACCTATGCTTGATTTGTAATAGAATAGGACCTCTAACTTTGACATTTCATTTCAAATGATTTGTAGTCATAAGTCTAGTCCTCATTTATGCTTGCTTATGATAATTCTTCTTGGTGCAATCATAGAAAGCCTGAGATTCTGCTTGTTATAATATATATGACTCGAATTCGAAGAAATTTAGTGAAGCGACCTGTTTGTATTCTAATTCTTACCTATTTATGAAAATTTAACATATTGTGTTGCAGAGGAGATTCCTATAGAGTATAAGAATATGTTAGCTTTTCTTATGAACGAGTTTTGTTGATCAACTGCTGTATCTACCACTAAACCTTAAACCATACTTTACTGTGAAGAAAGTGGAACTCAATCTCATCAAGAACCACTGCTTTTAGCTGCATGTTTCTTTTTGAAACCACTTTATTGGTCTAGTCACTCTAAAGACATGCATACATACCCCATAGAGAGATATCCATCAGAATCCAAAGCGCATTGCCAACAGTGTCACATAGTGCAGCACTAATGCCTACTCTTCTGTGTTCAATTTTCTAAGTTTAAATATGTTTGTCTGTGTGAATATATATATCCACATATATTTTGAGTGGAACAATTTCCTGGTTATAAACCAAGAGCTATTTGTGCTGATATAATTAACAATTCCCACCTCTCTCCCTAACAGTAATACCAGAAAGAAAGTTGGGTAATATTCCAGAACCTATAATTCTAAGTCTAATGCCAATCTAATACAACTGGAAAGAAATATATGATACATGGTGTGCAGATGGTGAAAAATGACGAGAACAATGATATGATCATATCTGAATCTGTTATATACAGTTTCTATATATCACTTAAAATACAGAACTGTTTAACACAAACCCCTTCTAATTTCCCAACCTGCCTTTTTAAAAAAAAAAATACAGGCTTAATTTTTTCCCCCACCTCTTGAAGAAAAAGAGAAACAACCTGAAAATTGATGACTCAGGAAAAAAAGATGGAGCCAGCCAGTCTTATGATGCCAAGCAAGTTTCCCAGAATAGCCTGCTCTTCTCCACCTCATTCAACAACTCATACTCTTTGGTTGAATCAACAGAGACAGTTGATTTCAGCTGGTGCCCCATTAATGGCAATGGCATCCCAATATTATTATGTTCACCACCACCCCATCTTTGATGATAAACTGATGAACATTCTTCTTCTTCACCTTCTTCTTCCTCGTCCTCGTCGTCATCATCATCGCCATGACTATATGCTTGATCAACAGAATCACCCTGATCATCAATATCATGTAGCTCATCATCATCAGCATCAGGAATATCAGTTGAATCATAGCTACATGATTGAGCATCATCTTCAGCCATGGCTAAACTGGGATCAGGGTAATTCTGATCAGCCTCAGAATCACCACTGGCTTCAAAGAGCAAGAAAGAAGACAAATCCATAGCCTTAGGCATAGCATTCTTCTGCTTCTGCACGTCCATGTTTGCCTCCATAGGAAACCATGAACGAATCATTTCAAACACACAAAAATCAAATTCTCTTTTTAAGGCTGCAAAAAATAGGCAGGCCTAAATAAAGAGGAATAGTAAGAGACGTCGCAGGCAGGCTGTCTTGTTTGACACTTAAAAAAGTCGTGGGGGCCTCCTCCTATATATCTTCCCTCGTCAGGTCAGTCTCCTCTCAAAATAATATTACTAAAATATCTGGATTGATCAAAATTATGGGCATGATAGAAAAATTATGGAAAAGGGAACCCGTTGAAATGGACATTTATTTATAATGAAACATGTGGCTGGCTCGCTGGCTTCTAGAAGGAAGGCAATACAATACAACTAATAAGCAAGCCTTGTAATGCTATAAATGGCAGATCGATCAAATCAACCTAATCTTCTAGAAGGAAAAAACACATAATGGTTTTACATGGATTGGGCAAAACTTGTAGGGCAGTTCATATCTATCCCATCCCATGTGCTGCCACGTATCTGGCACATGGCTTTGCCTAATCTCAACTTGATTACTTGATTTACTTGCTTTGCTCCATGAGAATTTGTTGGCGCATGTTTATCTTGCATTTGCTTTTACTGTTTGTGCGGGCTACTGAAGCTTCCTTTTTTTTACCTTTCTACTAAAATATTTGTTATTATTAGTTCACACAGCAATCTCTCTCCCTCTCTCTCCCTCTCTCTCTTACAAAAAATAAAAGTCAGTCTCTTAAAAATATGGAATGAATGAATGAAATTGTTAGTCAAAAGTATACCTGTTACTAGACAGAGACTTGTCTAGCTAACAGTTATAAGTTGACAAAATATTCAAAACGACCGAAAGAAGAAGACTTGATATAAGTACAAAATATTGTGTCATTTAATGGAAAACTAGTTTAATAAAACTATGTACTAGATAACGTAAGTAATGTTTTCTCAAAGTGTTTTATTTTTGCAGATTTCAGAAAAGAGGTTTAGTTTAAACTCTTCTAGTTAATTTGGATTTGGCCGGCGTGCTGCATGAATTTCAAGGAAAGTCGACCAAGAAAAAAAGTGTTTAGCCTCATAATTAGTAGTGATGACCAACACAACACTTCCAACACAACAAAAGTGTCAATCAAGATAAAGAAATAAATGTTCTCATGTTTAGCCACTAATTCTTGAAAAAGAAGAAGAAAAAGAATTGTTCAAACTTGTTCAAGAAAAGTACACACCCATTTTTTCTCCATTTTTTCTTCCTGCAAGAAAAGATTGTCCATATGCCGTACGGTTCAATACAATATCTTAGGGTAAACTACGGTAAACCCCCCAATCTATAGGATCATTTACGAGTTCATACCCAATTTTGGGGACATTTATGAGTACATATTCAATGTCGCGGAAAACCTACAATTTGTCCCCTTCGTTAGCCCAACTGTTAGTGAGTCTGTTAAATGTTGACGTGTCAAAAATAGGACCCATTTTTTTGATGATGTGGACAAAAAAATAATAAAAAATTATGTACATGTTAAAAATGATTTTTAAATCATTAAAAATGAATTTTAAAAAAAATAAAAATCTCATCTCTCTTCTCTAACCCAGCCAACATTCAGCTCAAGCAAGCTCACAACAATGGCGGCAGCAACAACCCATCACCATTTCTGCTGCCCTCATATTTGCAAATCCAGATTTGGAACCCAACTTAAAACATCAATTACAACAACCCATCACCATTTTATCTACGAAATATAACACAATTCAGCTCACAACAATGGCGGCAGCAACAACCCATCACCATTTCTGCTGCCCTCATATTTGCAAATCCAGATTTGGAACCCAACTTAAAACATCAATTACAACAACCCATCACCATTTTATCTACGAAATATAACACAATTCACATAACCAAAACCCATAAAATTTAAAGATTGAATTTTTTAAGAAAAAAATTGATTTGATAATCCTTAATCTCCAGAAAAAAATAAAAACAGATCTCCTCTCTCTTCTCCTACCCAGCAAATCCTCTCTCCCTCCCGACTAAACCCCACCTCCTGGCCACCTCTCTCTCCTTCTCCCTCCTAACCCACCCCAACTTCTCCTTCTTCCTCGCAAATGACCCTATAGGTTGGGGGTTTACTGTAGTTTACCCAATATCTTAATATACATATACAGAAATTCTCCTATGTGAACATTCAGCCTTTATTATCATACGAACGTTATGTATTTTGTACTATAACTCCTTACTTTCATGCATATTTATAATAGTATCTGCATAATAATAACATGTAGGGCCAGTTTGGCATTGCTGTGCTGTGAAAATAATCACTGTCAAATTTGCTGTATGAGAAATCAGCTGTGAAATAAATCAGTTTGGTGTTTGGTAAACTTTTTGTTAAAAGTGATGTTGAAACAATAATCAGTTTATGAGTGTTTGGTAAATTTTTGTGTAAAAGTGTTTAGACTACGTATAACGACTAGAAAGTACATGCGGTTATTATTTTTAATTGCAATACCTAAAACCTGAAAATTATGACCAATTGGAAAACTCAATGATTGTAATTCACAAATGAATATAATAACAACCCAAAATCTTCCTATCACGATTCCAGTATTCAGTGCCCTCTTGCCTCTTCATTAGTAATTTTTTTCACACCATTTAACTCCATGGCCGACAACCAATTGCCAATTCCCATAGAGTATATATGTTGCTACTCATACAGTAATACTTGCATACATGCATTATTAACGCAATGGCGGTTGTGGAAATGAGAAAAAGAGAGAGTGAGAGAGAGCTGTCGAGGGTTTAGGGTTTAAGAGTTTTAGCGCGGGATCGAAAACTGATAAGTGAGGGAGTGGAAAGTGAAAAGTTTTACCCCCAAAAAAGGAGGATAAAAATAGACTGTTTATTAACGGATTGGACTGTCGAAATGAAAATGATCTATCAAAAAGGGCCTGAATTTGATCAGGAGGCCCAAAACTAAGATGAATCTGAGACAATTGTTCTGGCGCCGCTTGTTTTGGTAACATATATAGCTATAAAACCCTAATTTACTTATTTTGAACGTGGTAGCTTCATCTTTATAAAAAATAAAAAAACGACGTCATACTAAGGGCCAGTTTGGCATTGATGTGCTGTGAAAATAATCACTGTCAAATTTGCTGTATGAGAAATCAGCTGTGAAATAAATCAGTTTGGTGTTTGGTAAACTTTTTGTTAAAAGTGATGTTGAAACAATAATGAGTTTATGAGTATTTGGAAAATTTTTGTGTAAAAGTGTTTAGACTATGTATAATGACTAGAAAGGACATGCGGTTATTATTTTTAATTGCAATACCTAAAACCTGAAAATTATTATTCATTAAAGAGCACCGGTTCCCCATCAGCTTTCCGCATAAGCGGAAATAAAATCACCCCCTGACCAGCTTCCTCAAATCGCTGTGGCTGACAGCAATTATTCATATAATCAGATTATTTTTTCATTTACCAAACAGCTAGGTGGAAGAAAACTTCATAAGAAAGTGATTTTTGCTCCAAATAAGCAATGCCAAACAGGCACGTAGACATCAGAATAAGAGAATGACTGTATACATATATATATTTGTGATCGAAATTAATTAACTTGCTTATTTGACTGGGAATTAATTAGTATATATAATTGTTGGCCTCGACATCCACATGCACTCAAATTAAGGTTCAATTCAACTAGTGCTTGCTTGCTCGGTCTTATGTGTTGTGCTGTTTATATATTGGAAATCTGGTTTGTTTGTTAGTGTTGATGAATCAGATAAATATATATATATGTAATCGTGTGGTGTGGGGCATCAAAATGTTCCTTGAAGATTGCAGGCTGACTTGCAGTGCAGATGGGGAGGGACTAGGGAGGGCACCAAATGTTTGAAAAGGTCCACTGGATGGAGCTGAGTCATAGCCTAATATATATTTCAAACGTGAATTTTACGGTGTGGCCTCTTCACAGCTTTCAAACACAAGAATATAGATGGAGAGGGAGACAATATTCAATCAAAAATGAGGAATTTGCTGGGTGGGTGGCAGACATTTTAATTTGTCATTTTCTTTCTTTTCTGGTCCAAAACTTGCTCAAAGCTTGACTTTTGTGTGGCTGGTAGTGGCAGCACACCCTTAAATTAATTTCCATATTAATTGCCAACTGGTAAGTATCATACAAAATTAATACAACTTGCTATATATAAATTATAAATTTGGAGTTCTAACTCATTCATTGCAATATCGAGGGTTCCTTTCAAAGTGATTCTGAATAGGTCAATAATCATTTTTATAAAAACAACAACACATGACTCTCTACGGTCCATCCTATATATATATATATATATATATATATCCATGGATTGATTGTTGACTGACCCATAAGTTGGAGTTTCTTATATATATATATATATGATTTTAGGCAATTAATGACTCAAATGCTTGAAAGTTCATATTTCTCATTGTGCAAGTCAACAATCAAAAAATAAATAAATATAATACTTGTACATGGTAAACCTGCCAATAGAGTAGTCATACGTATCATCATGTACGGATCGCGTACATTCACATAAATACAAGTTACAATACAATACAATACACCAGGTGTGTTACATTACACATGTAATAAAATGAGTTCATTGCTGTTGAGAAAAGGAAAGAATACTTGCTGTGTCTCTGTGTCCTGTAATTAAGTACAAAAAGGACTTGTCCAGAAAGAAAGAAAAAAAATGTATATATAAATAAAAGAAGGGATTAAAAAGAAAATAATGAGTTGGTAACGGGATCTAAAGTTTTGAAATTCGAATAATTCTCATCTCAGGGCGGTGGGGCCCATTTAGTCGGAACAATGTCGAATCGAATGCAACAAAGATTCAATCTGGCGCGCTCCTCTATACAGTCTCTCCTCTTCATGGTAATGGTAACTTGGATTGGATGGAAGCATTCAATTTCAAGCTAGAGTTTTCATGTGTATGTGTCAAAAACAGGACAAGCATATTTACAATGGCATTGGTGGATGTGGATCTAAAACATGCAAAAATTATCAGAAAACATTTTGGAAGATAAAGAAAATGATGATATGCCTAGTGCAATATCACAGACATTTGATCCAATTTATTTCCTTCCATTATCTCACAGTTTTGTGCTTTATTCAAGTTGAGGAACCAAACACAATCATCATCTTCAACGGTCATATCCCACGAATTCAAATTGTTTTGTTTTTTTGTTTTCCCTAAGAAAGAAGAAGAAAAAAAGGAAGAAAGAAAGAAAGAAGAAGAAGGCGAAGATGAATTTGCTTTGTCTCCAAATCCCAATGAGCATTATGAATTCCACCTGATTTCGGATGGCTGATGGAATGGAACGTCATTTCATAATTTCACTTTACTAATAATTATCTTTTGTTTCGTTGCTTAAAATACAATAATAGACCCTGTTTCATCCAATTACCGTAAGGTTTTAATTGATGTAAGTATTATACATAAAACACAAGTCTAGGATTGTGGAGCCACTCGTAGAATGGCACCTTTGTTATTACCATCAACTAGGAGGTCAGATTACCCAAGATGGTGGATAAAGTAAAATTTGAAACGGGTGGCCGTTTGAGCTTGAAACAAAACCTCACACATTTAAACCCCTCCCATGCTGATATTTGAACTCTCTCTCTCTCTCTCCACTGCCAACACTCACTCATTCTAGAGAAGAGATAGACTAGAAAGACAGAGGTAAAGATGACAGGGCTTGTAATGGTGACAAGGGGAGGTGGGTGTGGTGGGAATGTGAAAGGAGGAGCCAAGGCAACAAAGAGCTCAGAGCTGGAAGAGCAGAACCAGCTCTCTCTGGTAGCCTTTCTCTTGGCTGCTATAAGGAAATCCATGGTGGCCTGCCATGTTGAGCGAGGTGAAGAACTGATCTCCGCCGTCCATCACTTGGACATCGGGTGGCCCACAAATGTCAAGCACATCACTCATGTCACCTTCGACCGCTTCAATGGCTTTCTGGGTCTTCCAGTTGAGTTCGAGGTTGAGATCCCTGGTCGAGTTCCCAGTGCTAGGTAACCAAAGCTCTTGTTTTTGCTTTCTGGGCACTCTTAGATTTGTCAAATTTGACTTGGGTTTTGCTTAGAATAATGCTTGGAAATGGAAAAACTGTTCTCAATTAGGCTGTTTTTAAATGTTGCTTTCTGAGACTCAACTGCATTTGAGCTGATTTAGCTCTTTAACTTTAAGCTCCTGATGTGGGATTTTGAAGTTGGGGAAACACACAGTTCTTTACTTGGGGCAATTGCTTGTCCCTACATTTTTGGTTGCTGAGATTGTGCCTTATAATGTAGATGTTCTAATTGAGCTAACAAAGGAAGGTAGAAGTTCATTTTTACATATAGTCTAACTTCTTGTAACTCATCTACTTTTCACAGTGCAAGTGTGTTTGGCGTCTCAGTAGAGTCAATGCAGTTGTCTTTTGATTCAAAAGGGAACAGTGTCCCTACCATTCTCCTGCTAATGCAGGAGCGGTTATACTCACAAGGAGGATTGAAGGTACAAGTTTTTGTTTATATATAAAATATATACCATCTTTTTGGGGTTTTTCTTGTTTCTGTATCAGTCTTCTTACTAGTCCCTTTGGAAGTTTTGCAGGCAGAAGGAATATTCCGTATAAACCCGGAGAACAGCCAAGAGGAGATTGTGAGAAACCAATTGAACAGGGGTATGGTGCCAGATGACATTGATGTCCATTGTTTGTCAGGTCTAATTAAGGCCTGGTTTCGAGAGCTTCCTTCGGGAGTGCTGGATGGACTATCACCTCAACAAGTACTTCAATGCGAAACAGAAGAGGACTGCGTTGAGCTTGTGAAGCAGCTAAAGCCAACTGAGGCTGCATTACTCAATTGGGCTATTGATCTGATGGCTGATGTTGTTGAAGAGGAAGAATTCAACAAAATGAATCCGAGAAATATCGCTATGGTGTTCGCTCCAAACATGACTCAGGTAAATCTAAAACAGGAGAAAAGAGGTCATTCCTTTGCCTAATATAGCTAAATAGTAAAGATTGACAGATTATTTCGTTTTGCAACTCTTTTCCATACCAGATGTCTGATCCTCTGACGGCCTTGATGCATGCTGTTCAAGTAATGAATTTGCTTAAGACCCTGATTATTAAAACACTAAGAGAACGTGAAGAGACTGATACTGGTTCGTATTCGCCCATGTCATCTCGTTCATCTGATCATCAAACAGACGAAGACTTTGATAGCCAGCACGAGATGGAGATGGAAAGTAGCTCTGAGTTGAGTGGACCAACATCAGATTATGATGAGAATCCCCACAGCAGCCACAGAAGCAAAGACCGAGATGAAGTCCGGTCACTAAGTGAGATAGAAGAATGCTTCTTGAGACAACTGGATGAGATTAAAGCTGCCACAAGTAGTTTGGAAATAATGGATGAACCAACAGGTCAGTTAGATGGGGATTGTCCGAGTCCTCAAAGCTGCTCTGGCTTCAACGGGGAGTCTGGCACATCATTTTCTGATAGCAAGAATGGGAATTCTAGTTTTAGTACAAGTGACGGGGAAGAAGACTCAGGAAAATGTATTGTAGCTGTGGAACAGGACATGGATACAGAGATCCCTGTATCAATAGCCTGTGCTAACATGGATGAAATGGAGATGGTGGACAAATTTGTGGAGCCCTGGATTGCATCTAACGGATCTGTTTGACCAACATTTCATCTTCTGGGTGATTTGAACATTGCTTTCTCAGCGGATTTTGGTTTTATGTCAACGGTCTTGTTTACTTCTGTAAATGGTATGCTTGGGAATGCAATGCTTGCCTTGTAGTTGTTTGTGACTTGTGAGTAGTCAGGTTCAGCTTTGGGCTGAACTTATGTTTGGTTTGTAATAGAATAGGATCTCTAACCTTACCATTCCACTAGAATGTGCTTTAGTCAGAAGTTTAGTCTCACTACCATGTTAGTGGTGATCTGTGTGTAACTCTGTCAGTTTATCTTAGGGAGCTTGATTCAGCCAGTCTGAAATTGTGTAACTCGGTCAGTATTTTGTCCCCGACATGAAATTTGGATAAGCTCGTGTTTGTTAAGGTCAATCTGTGTATTCTTTCTTCATTCTCTGCTTAACACCATTCAGAAACTGTCAACCCTACAAGATCCCTGTGGGATCCCAATATTCCGAGGATCAAAACGAAAACTTAACAGCCACATTACAAGTCTCCACTATGTAGAGATAATATCCCATCCGAATATCCCAAAATAAATATGTAGAGATAGAGATAATATCATATCCGACTTCATTAATTCCAAGTCTCCACTATATAGAATGAAGCTTAAAGATGCACACTTAAGAAGAATTACGTGATAAACCTCACTCCCACAGGGTAAAAAGGTCAAGTCAATTACAACAAAACGAAACAAAAGAAAATCAAAATATATTAACTTGTGCTTACAAGAGGACTGGAAAGTGAAACATTGGGACGAACAGAGAAGCACCCATGACTGATATCTGAGACTTCATTGTTGGGCCTCAGAGATTCATCGATCATTAAGCCGAAAAGGCTGGAAGGATGCCGCATCCAGCTGAAGCATCACGAAGCTTTGCTCGCTGCACAGATCAAACTACAGATAAAGAACATTCAGAAATTGTCCTACCAGTCTAACCAACAACCAGCACTCACACAAACAAATTATCTATTTAGCAGACCTCCATACATGTCATTTCAAAATTTCAATAAAAGATCCAAAATAAGGGGGTAGAATATTACCAAATGTAGAAGAAGAGAAACAGTGCTCAACATCCAAGCATGATATCACGTCAGGAAATTTATGAGCCTACTAGTGTTCAAAACTAGACGTGGATACCTGATTACAGCTGAAGAATCCAGTTGGATAAAATAGACTAGATTAGATTAGAACATAAAACATACCCAAAATGACCATGAAATAATTATGGCCGGCTGCTTTATACGCATACCAATGTCATAATGATGATAATATGCACGAATAACTACCAGCATCGACTATATAAATACTTTCTTAATAAACTAGATTATATCTGAACATAAAGCACACCTGATGATGATCATGAAATATGTCGTAATTATTAAAATCCACGTAATATCAAAAATAAAAATTACATTCACATGAAAGACAACAATGTCAATCCAGATTCTTCGACTTAGGTCATCCTGAACCCTACTCATTACTCAATCCAAGTGGTCTAAGTTTCTGCATTTCTCATTTTTTTTCGAAGTCTTCAGCTTAATATGCTCCATTACAAGTTATTTTAACTAGGTCAACTCACAGAATGCTCTCCATGATAGCCACAAAATCTCATCCATTTCAAAAGCAAGGGATTTTATCACAGGTGAAGACACTTGTCACCCACCAAAGAAAACCACCACCAGCTATTGCATGTTTATGTGACCAACACATACACACAAGTCAAATTTTGAACTTGTTCAAAAGTGCCAAACTCTTGACTACTTATATCAAGACACAGAGGCCTTGTTTCTTAGGGAGGACTAGATTGGACTGGACTAGACTAGACTAGTAAAATGCTTACATTTCATGTGCAATCAAGGCATAATATGAATATTGTTGTCTAACTTGGAGAATGAAGGAGGACTATTTATAAGAGGTTGATGACTAAAACTTATCCCTCATAATCCCACCATTTTCAAGGGGATTAGGGGGGATAAGTTTTAGTCATCAACCTCTTATAGAGAGTCCCCATTCTTTCTCAAAGTTAGGCAACATATCCATATTATGCCTCCAATGCACATGAAATGTAGGTATTTTTCTAGTTTAGTCTAGTCCTTCCTACCAAACAAGCCCAGAATGTACATAAAAGGGTACTACAGGAATAAATGTGTGAGAGAGAGAGAGAGAGAGAGAGAGAGAGAGAGAGAGTTCTGCTTAAAACAAATAATAAATACTCATCAAGCGCACCAAAAGGAATTATTGAGGTTTCTAAGGTTTATGGCATCATACCTTCATCAATTACAATCTAGACCGCAACAATGGTGCTTTAAATTCTTGCATCTGCAACTAAAATATGGCTCATTCTCACCCGATAATTTGACAGTTCATAGCAAAGAAGCAACAACTGAGACCAGAGATGCAGACTCCACGTTTACCCTCCAACATCAGCAATGTTTATGCAGTCTAGTACTTATGAACAACAGCTAAGAATACATACAAACATGCTGAACCTTCAATCCAGTGCTCCTACATGTCAAAACAAATGAGCCCAGGGAACACATCTCCAACATTACAAAACAGAGAAAATCAGCATGCTGGATGCTAATTTGGAAAAGACCAACACCTTGAATCACAACAGTCTCATCAGAAAACTCCACGAAAGATTTAACATAAAGAGAAACAAGTACATATTAATTGGTAGGCAACAAAACTAAATTCAAATTCAACCTAAATGGCAAAAATTATTAAATATAGATACTGAACAAGAGAGGATAAAATATGGACTAGCATTAAAATATAAATCAGATGCACAACATTCAAATTATGATTTTCACAATGGTATAGACAACCACTTTATCTAACATGAATTCTGGTACGCCTATACAACAACGCACCTTTTCTACTAAAAGAATGCTTGTTTAGCTACTTAATATCTTCAACTTCAAGGTATGCCACATAATTTGGAAAACAAACTCTTACAACAAGAATGCAGAAGGATAGCCTGCTTTATAGTTAAATAAGTCAGGATACAAGAAGTGCCTAACCAAGAAATAAATAGAAATATGAAATAATGTCTTTGAACTCTGGAAACAAAAGAATCGGGGATCAATTATCATGAATGATTCAACAAAATTATACAACCAGATGTTCATGAGGGAAGAATCAATAAATTGATAGTTACTGTCTAAATGAACTTTCATGATTCACAAATTACAGATTGTATTGGCACGGTATGCACCATGAATTACAAGTTTCAGGACTTTCATTCCCTTGAGGAAGTTACACGTAGGCTGGAATAACCCATATAATTGCAGATCAGCTAAATCCACCCTACAATGTTGATGAAGTTGAGTTGACTCCCATGCATTCGGTTTGCATGCAGCCGGAGAAATTTTGTCCTTGCATCACTCACCTCCAAATCAATATGGTTTGTTCTGTTTGTTGTCTCTCTTAAGCTGAACCTTTAATTTCTTACCACCTAATTGGTATCCATTCATCACACTGATAGCAGATTGAGCAGACTCTGGTAAATCATAACTTACAAATCCTGAAAATTGAGACTGATTAGAGGTAAAGATTTCCACATAGCTCACATGACAATCACAAGTAACTAGAGAATATTCTCACCAAAACATTTGCTGACGCCGGTTGCTTTATCAACAAAAACCTTGGCACTCAAAACCCTACCAAATGCTTGAAAAGCATTGGCAAGTTCTTGATCTCCAAATTCTTGAGGTATGTGATAGATAAATAAATTAGCACCAGGTGGACCTAAGTCAGAGAAGATAAGAGTAATTGACAAAATACCACCACCAAGAACTTTATTTTAATTTGAAAAAAACTCAATAATACATATATAGATAACAACCTTCAACCTGACCCCCAGAACTTCTACTGGTGCCTGAGGATGTTGCTGGGTTACTGTTCACAACTGTAGGTGACACTGAACCAGGTGAACTCAATGGCCGGTGACTCATCATTCCTCCAGGATACATCATCGGATGCTGAAGACCTGGAACTGCAGGATAAGCAGAGCCCACATAACTTGCAGGAGGCATTGCAAAATTTCTGGGGGCGATATTGCGAGGCCTGATACCATGCAAAGCATTTCCTTGGTTTACAGGGCGTATCATATTATGGAAACCTGGTTGGTTTTGCAGTCCAGGTAGGCGGTATTGCATGAGTCCATATGCCCCAGGAGCCTACAGAGGAAATGAAATGACATTACTCCATTACTATATAGGACAATACAACAAAAAACCAGAATATCAAGACATTAAGTCAGGAGTTCATATATAGGTTAGGGCATAATGCCAAAGAAAGCTCCAAACGTGCTAATGGTTATGCTTTCTTCTTACCATGAAAAAATAAAAGTTTACAGAGACACGAGACTGACCTGATAACCATAACCATTATATGAGGGAACATAACCCATAGGTAAGGCTCCAAATAACGAAGGATGTTGTGAATCAGCATTTGGCACATTAACAGCCTGGGAATGAGCTTTCTGAGCTCTCCGAGCTAGCCTTTCTTTTTCTGTGTCTGCCCACTTGACAACTAAAGGAACACTTGAACCCTAAGAACACAAGCCATAAGAGTGGATTATAGAGCATTGTACCAATACATCCATACTACCAAGTTGTCATTATCCATAAGCAAACGTCAAAAATGATAAATTCAACTCAACCAGTCAATTAGTAAGCATGCAAGCCTTTTAATTAACTTAGCCTTTCTTTTTCTGTGTCTGCCCACTTGACAACTAAAGGAACACTTGAACCCAAAGAACGCAAACCAAAAGAGTGGATTATAGAATTGTACAAATACATCCATACTACCAAGTTGTCATTATCCATAAGCAAATGTCAATGATAAAATTCAACTCAATCAGTCAATTAGTACGTATACAAGCCTTTTAATTAACTTTGATAATAAGACAAACTCTTCAATTGCTGACTCATTATTCATCATTATTGTCCACTCAATCGGAAAAGAATATATGTTTCTGCCAATGCAGGTGTCTATGTAAATATTTAGAAAGGGGGGAAGCCAGCCAGCAATAGAAAACAGAGCATCCAATATGAATTACATAAACAATTTTCAATATACATTTCCAGCCACCAAAGCATGTATTAGACACAAACCTCCATTTTATATTTTCCATTCATGGCTTCCAGGGCAGAAAGAGCTTGTTCTTTTGTCTCATACTTTAAGAATGCACAGCCTGCCAGAAAGAGAAAGACATGGTAAATTCATTTACTAGTTGAGGACCAATATATTTTAGGGAATTTCACTAAAACACCCAAAATGGAGGCTGAAATTATAAAAAAACCCAACACCCAAAATACTTTATAAACACACCCAAAACCCATCATTACACACTCAAAACCCATTTATAAACCCACCCAAAAAATATATAATTGTTGATTTTGGGGTTGATTTTGGGTGTGTTTCTATGTTTAAATAGTGTTTGGGTTTTTTTTATCTGCAGGTCCTTTACTGTTCCATATTTAGAGAAAAGAGTAGAAACTTCAACTTCGGAAACATTCTTTGGAAGCATACCAACAAAGAGCTTGTGTTCTGGATTGAAGGGGAAGGCAAAGATTAGTAATCAGGGTCCATATAATAATAAACAAATAAATGGGATGAAAGAAAATACAATAAGCATTGGTTCAACAAAACTTCATAGGAAACATCAGTAGTTAAATCATGAAAGTATATTACACCTAATCTTTCCAACTCGCCATCAGCATACTTCACTTGCAACGGACTAGATGCCTGAATTGGACAAAAGAACAGGGTGGCTTTGAATCAGAATGAATAACAAAACACATCAAGAGCACTAAGAGCACAAGTTGTGAAAAGTTAGCACTGGCCTAGGGAAATAATGCGGACAGCCAAAAATATTTTGGTTGACCTTATATTTTCCATCAAGTAATACAAATGAGGAAAGTCACATTAATCAGTTGAATCACAATTCATTAGCAGGCATAGGCAAGAGCCCAACTGAGAATCTTGCCTGGGCAACCACTTGAAGGTCCAGCAAGGCCTACATAGGCTCCCCCAGTCGCTCTAAGACCTATGCCAGGAAAATTCCAAGTTGCATAAGCACATATTTTATATCAAGTTGTCCAAATATCAATCTGCTAATCATGATTTCTAGTGGATATACTGTACCAAAAGAAGATTGCCTAAAATGTGGGCCAAATGGTCAATAGTTTACTCACATGATCTAACTAAGGTCACTGATATTTGTATCTTCTGAAACAAGCATGCAACCTTCTTTGTTTAACTATTTTGTAAATTTACACCACAGCTATATTTAAGCTTGGCTTGATTGCATCAATTTTTTCAGGGTACTATGGCTTACTAATCATCATGCCCCTTACAACTTTGACGGGCAGAACCAATTTTTCGCTTCAATAGGTTGAAGAGATTCTGCTCTTATTTTGTGGGACATTATACCCCATTTCTTATTTATGGTCATGCTCTTCCACTGCAAGATATTGGCAGGATAATCTGCATTACTATATGCAAATTATAATATACAGTTCATCAACTACATCCTACAGCACCTGCTATGTGATTGGCAACATGTTCATTTTGCCTATAGAAAGTACCTAAAGAGAAATTTGGCTAGCCCTCTGTAAAAAGGATGAAATTGTTGCCAAAGGAGCCTACTGTAACTTAACTAGGAAAAAAAAAACAAAGGAACTTTACTATGAGCAAGTCATTTCACTTTTCCTATGGAATATTAATTGCAGAACGTTTTGGTCACAAGTGTCAACATTGTCGAAATAAGTCAGTGGGTATGGTTTCGTTACTATTAAATGTTCAAATACACACAAGAAAGTATAACAGTGAATCTGTGATCGACAACTAGTCAAAGACTACACACCTGCTCTTCCTGTATAATGTCAAGTGTTCAATGATTAAGAGATAGCTTACGGATGACGTATGAAAATCATTCTAATCATACTTTTAGGAGAGGAAGGGGGGGGGGGGGGGGGGGGAGATATGGTGCATTAATCTC